GGTGAGGGTTTGGTTGTGCCAGGACAATGGGATGAGACTGGAATTCAATTGTTTCTCATGAAATAGAAAAGGAGGGGTCTGGTAGGAGGGACAGTTATATCATAAAATGATCATAGAGGAGCAGCAAGGGGCCAGAGATGGGGACCAGGACAGTTATAACTCCATTGGGACAGCAGGGGGCAGAGGTGGAGAAAGAGCCAGCTATCTGCTTGGGTACGTCTACACTGCACAGCTATTTCAGGATACCACAGGTATCACAAAATAGCTACCCCGCATCTACACAAGCCAATCGTTCTTTCAAAATATTTTTCAAAATAACGGGCGCACTACTTCGCCATCCCGATAAACTTCATTGCATAAGGGTTAAGGGATGGCTCGAAATAGTGTGTTATTTCAAAATTCGGTGCTGTGTAGATGCACCAAATTTCAAAATAAGCTACTTTGAAATAGATTCAAAATAAGATACGCCATTTGTGTAGCACAAATTGTGTATCTTTTTTCAAGTTTAAAGTGCTGTTTGGACACATCTCTATATTCAGAGTTTGTCTGTTCGTGCATCTGTTTGTCTATCCCCAGGTGAGGGACCTGAAGCCCTCCCCAAACTGTGCCCACTACAGCTGCAGTGGCCATGGATAGGCACTTCTCACCTGGCCCGTGAGAGAGGGTTGGGACTGTCCTCTCTCCCCGGGGCAGCCTGCACACTCTTATCTGCAGCCCCCCGGAGTCCCAGAGAAATGATTTAACTGAAGAAATACAAACATTTGAGTTAAGGACCTGAGCAACACCAAGTAAATCTCCTAGTCCTACTAATAACAAGCTTCATCTGCATATTTCACAGGCAACAAAAAACCTAGATCATGTCCTTGTATCAAAATGTCTAAAATTAAAGGGTAACATGCACACAACGAAATATTTTTCATTATTAAAATGACAGGATTCCCTCCCCCCAATTGTATTGTACTGCACACATATGTCCAGCAACAACTTTTAGTGACAGATGGAGTCTAGTATAACTGAAACTGAATTTCTGATTCTAAATATGTTGGATCCCATCTGGTTCTTCCTTATTATCTCCATTGCTTTTAATCAATTAACTCTAAATGGCTTTTCTTTATAACCAAATATTTATTTCCTATAGAGCCACTCATTCTTTACTGTTTTTGTTCAACAGACGAGGATCTTATCTTCTTGGACTGTTTTTCAAAGTCCATGTTATTTATTAAATATATAGCTTGGTTTACTGTACACTTCTGATAAATCAGGTTTCTACTCCTCTCACTTCAGCTTTTTTTCCCCAGGTTCCATACATTCATGTAGGCCCTCTTCTAAAAAATATTGTGAATCACAAATATTAAATGCTTAATATTTAATAAAATATTAAATATTAAATGCTTAATTTGAACTGGCAGAAAGACTGGCTACCAGAATTCTACAAAAGTCTGTTAGCTACTATGTTTCTGCACGAGCATATTGAAGGAAACAGCAGAAATAATACTTTACCATTTGATGAACAACATATGACACAAACCTCTAGACTCACAAAAATAAGTTACAAATTTAGAAAAATATCCACCCTATAAAATTTCTTTCCCCCACCCTCGCATACACAAAGGAAATCAACAAATTCTTTATTTTAATTGATACATAACTGTTTAAAATAATGCTTGATACAAATATATTAGATTAGCAGGTTCTCAAACTGTGGGTTGGGACCCCAAAGCGGGTCACAACTTCGATCTAATGAGATCATCATGGCTGGAGCCTGGGCCCACAGCCCACTGCCAGGGCTAGAGCCAAAGTATGAACCTCATCTCCCAGGGCCAAAGCTTAAGCTTAAGGGTTTGAGCCATCGGTGGCAGGGCTTTGGGATATAGTCCCGCTCTCCCCACACCTGGGGCTGAAGCCCTCCAGCTTTGGTGGCCCACTACCGGGAGCAGTGCGGTTCACAAGGGCTCAAGCTTCAGTCCCCCATCCTGGAGTCCGGTAGTAACTTTTGTTGTCAGAAGGGGGTCACAGTGCAATGAAGTTTGAGAACCCCTGTATTACATTTACAAAGAAAATAACTGCTAAAAAATCCAAATTACATTCATGTGATAAAAAGAGTGTTTTCTGAACAGAAACTAGATGTTAAAACATAGTGAGTCTTATTATGTCATGCCCATCTGTTTTTAGATAGAATCCCTCACTGATTTCCACAGCAAATACTGCTTAATATTGATGGTATGCTAATGACTCCTAATTATTTAACAATTTTTTTTATGAATAAAATGAGATATGGCTCTCCATTTTATCACACGCAAAAGGAAGCCCACAAGTTTGACTCAAGTTGGAAAACAGAAAATCAGAAGAGAGAAAATGGAACTTATATTTCCCAATGTCTATAACATTGTCCCATTGTTAGGTACAAGTTTGTGTATTATTTTTAAAATTCACTCTAAAACAACCATGCAGTGCAGTAGTAAATGGGTAAAGGGTTCTGTTTCTGATATCTGCAAAAAGAAAATACTACAAAGCATTAAAATACTCGTTAATTTCAAGGAACCGAGTGGCATTGTTGGAAAGCATTTACTGGTTGCAGAGTGAAGACTGCCTCTATGGGATAGTCAAGAATTTATTTCTGCAGTTCAATTTTTTCACCCAAAGGATGGTACTCTATTTATTTCTTTGTTGCTACTGCCTGCTTACTCTTGACAGTGTAAGCTACACAAACCAAAGTGCAATACGCTGTCTAAAAAAACCCATTATTTTTCTGTTTTAGAGAAGACACCTCTTAATCTCTGGATACATTGCCTAGGATGGTGCTCCTCTTAGCACCGCAAACTGTGACATTTTCCATTCCCACAGAGTTAACAACATTCTGCTTACAACCACATACACCAAACTCAGAATAGATGGTTTGGATGTTATAAATTATTCTCATAAAATAGCTATTCATGGGCCTCCCTGGGGATTGCACCTAATACGAGGATCAGACAAAATCAGTTAGCATCCACATATATAATCTCAGGCCCTAAAAAACTCTACACAACCTTATAAGGAAACTGACAGTAATTGCTATATGTTTTACTGAGCTATTTAGTGTTTGCCTCATGCAAGCCACCTTTGAGAAGGTTACCAATTCATTTAAGTTTTTATAAACCATCTAATCTCCTAATGCCAATGGGCTTCTTCTCTGTGGACAAAGAATCTGCCTAGTCTAAATACTGTAGACATGTATACTATATACTGTATATGATTGCCTGATTTTCTCCACAATATTAGAGGAAGATCCTGAGGTACTTTTATCACTGGATCACAATAAAGGATTATTTTTATAGCGTATGTTAAAACCATCCCTCCTCTCTTGTGCTTAGCTTCTGAAACTTTGGGGAACCTCAGTCATAGCTGGAAGCTTTCTGTGGGGCTGTTTTAGCTCTAGGAAGCCTGGATGTCTTGACAACTGTCTTAAAATATATTTCAAAGGAAGCTAATATGGAGGAAATGACAACATGAAGATGAGGAAATAGAAGGAAGAACATAAGGAAATGAAGAAGAGATGGGACAAGAAAAACAAGTATAGAAAAAATATGGAGGACAGAATTGGAAAAGTTAAAGGTACAGGGAGAAGGAGAAGGAGATAGGGTATGTCCACACTACCACCCTAGTTCGAACTAGTGTGGTTAATATAGTCAATCGAAGTTGCAAATGAAGCCCGGGATTTAAATATCCCGCGCTTCATTTGCATCTTGCCGGGCGCTGCCATTTTTAAATCCCCTTTAGTGCAGACTCCATGCCTGCGGCTACACGCGACATGGAGTAGGTAGTTCGAATTAGGCTTTCTAATTCGTGGAACGAGGTGTAACGGTAGTTCGAATTAGAAAGCCTAATTCGAACTACCTACTCCGTGCCGCGTGTAGCCGCGGGCACGGAGTCCGAACTACCGGGGATTTAAAAATGGCGGCGCCCGGCAAGATGCAAATGAAGCGCGGGATATTTAAATCCCGGGCTTCATTTGCAACTTCGATTGACTATATTAACCACCCTAGTTCAAACTAGGGTGGTAGTGTAGACATACCCATAGAGAATTTATTATGGAACATTATAGTTGCACTGTCAATGTCTTCCATTAAACACCTATAGATGCTTTTCAGGTGACAATCTCATCGCTTTCCTTTTGAAAGTGTGTGTACAGTATAAGGGAGAAAAGTAAAAAAGAAAGCATACAAGAGGTATGCAGCAACTTCAGCCCTCAACGAGAACACTGAATTTCTAGACTTCAAGCAACCAGAAATGTGTATAACAAGAGGATCAAGGGCACTTTCCAAAAATGAGTTTGTTTTTCACACTAGGGAAGTCCACAGCAATGGAAAAGAGCAGAATTTTAAATTTAATAACAAGACAAGTGAAAAATATAACATCATCCAGTCTATGTGAGGTGTAAAGCTGGTCCACACAAAGAAAACATTCGGTGCAAATTTTCCAAAGTTTATTTTTGTTCCTTTTAAGAATTGGGGGGAGGAGAGGAGGGAGGGAAATGTACTCTGTTTCCCAGGGATTGTGGAGAATTACTAAAGAGACAAAGAGGTTTTGTTTTTCTGGTTGTTTTTTTTTTTTACTTTATCTTGTACACACTACATTTAAATTTTATCGCCTTTCTTAATCACTTTCTGATGCCTGATAATACCCCCTTTAACCTTTGTTACTCAATTACCAAACAAGTTATCTCATTGTTACCTTTTTTTAAAGGAAGAGTTGAGACTCTTTTTATGCTGATAAGAGACACATACTATTCAATGCCTGCAAACATTTAGTACTAAAGTGTCTTGAGCAAACTATCAGAGTCTAAAGGTAGAAAGTTGAGATAACATGTCTACTGCCTTAACCCTTTCACCCACCCAGCAGAAGAGAAAGAAATGAGACATTCTTTTAAAAAAAACAGAAACAGTCTTCTAAAGAATGGTTTTGGAACATGTTTTGTAAAGTAGAAAAATAAATCAAATGGCTGAAAGTGAAATACTTACCCATTTCCTGGGCCGGCCTCTGGGTCGTTTTTCTCCAGTGGCTTCTGCTTTCTGTAAAGTGAAAAAACATATTTTATAAACAAACATTTTGCAGCCCTGGTAACTGAAATGTATTTCTTATAATATTATCCATAATTATGTATCTGCTGATTAGATGAGTGGCAATAAGCCTCTGTCTTTCTCTCCTCTATTGCTTGAATCTTGACTACATTCCTTTTTCTAACATTTCATAGAATAGTCTTAAAGATAATAAAATCCCCTCTTGTAGGGTACAAAGAATACAGTTTGTTTAAAAAAGGAAAGAAACTTCTTAAAGCCAACGGGCTATTTGCTGTTTTTCCTCTTGATAATGTTCAGAAACTAAATCAGCATGTTTGATAAAGAATATCATCTTGAACGTGTGTGTATTTCTACTTAGTGGTATCTTTCCTAACTCTGGGTAACATTACCTTTTCAGCTTCAAATATGTCCTTTAAACCGTAAACATATCTTTTACCATTCCAATATAGGTCTTCATTTTGAGGGTGGAAACAAATTCAAAGGTAAATACCCTAGAAATAGCATCTGATATGTAAGCATGGCACAAAGATTGATGCAAGGAGCTCAAACCAAAACAAAACAGATTCCACTCAGGACTCTGTCAGTAGTTTGTTTGGTGACTCTGGGATAAATATACTTACCCACTTTTGTAATAGAACTTTGAAATCCTTGAATAAAAAATTACATATAAAGTGATGTTATTTACAAAGTATGTCCCTCAAGCATAGGCAATATGGGTACGTCTACACTAGCCCCCTAGTTTGAACTAAGGAGGCTAATGAGAGTGACCAAAATTGCTAATGAAGTGCGGGATTTAACTATCCCGTGCTTGATTAGCATATTCCCGGCCGGTCGCCATTTTGGAAACTGACTAGCCCGAAGTAACTGCCCGCGTCTACACGAGGCAGAGAAGCGCGATTCTGAGATAAACCCCTTAGTTCGAATTAACAGTTAAATGAATCATGGAAAGAGGTTTAACTGTTAATTCGAACTAAGGGGTTTATCTCAGAATCACGCTTCTCTGCCGCATGTAGACGCGGGCAGTTACTTCGGACTAGTCAGTTTCCAAAATGGCGACCGGCCGGGAATATGCTAATCAAGCACGGGATATTTAAATCCTGCGCTTCATTAGCAATTTCGGTCACCCTCATTAGCCTCCCTAGTTCAAAGTAGGGGGCTAGTGTAGACGTACCCTCAGTGATTAATAACAGTGCTAATTAAGTAGGTGAACTACAGGTGAAATCCTTCACCCACTCAAGACAACAGCAGAACTCTCTTCTGTGGGGCCAGAATTTCACCCTATGTGCATACTCATCCCTTAAATCTGGGGGCGGGGGAGGTCCCTGCTGCATTGTACGTGTTTTCATATATTGCTTCTTCACAGGAGTCGGGAGTCAATTGTCTCACTACATAAATCACTTATTGGCATATCTCTGTATAATGTAGCATAATGCCTTGTCATGTAAAATGAATCCCACTGAAAGAGAATCTGAGCTGGGAAAGAACTGGGGCCAAGACCTATAAACCTTACTCTATAAGTGCAGTGAAATGACCTTGAAATAAATACCTCACCAAGAAGAAAGGTGTGAAAATAAAATTCACATTCCTAAAGGGCAAAATTATCACTTAGACTTGTTAAAAGAGTAAACTTGCTCTTTAACAGTTTATGCCAGTGTTACATGTAAGGTGAAACCCTCTTATGAGAATACTTTTTAAGAAGTACATTTGCTGTATTCTCTACCTATTTAACACGTTTTTGTTTCCCTTCAGACCCTTCATTATTAGGTCTTTATAACCCAGGCAGTGCAAACAGAGATTAGTTTTAGTATATGATGTCCAAGAGACACACAGTGATGATTTGAGCAATCTCAGGCATTAATATTAAAGAAAGGATTTGTTCAAAATGCTCTAAACCAATACCTGGCATTTTAGTAAAGAAACAACAACCCCTTCCTTTTTCAAAAAAGATTTTATTACTCTTAAATAAGAGTAGTAAACTAAGAAGACCGAATGGCTCACTTGATGGTTACCAGTTCTGTTCATTTCCTCTGGGGAACCTGGCATTAGCCACTGTCAGAAGACAGGAGATACTGGACTAGATGACCTGGTCTGGAAATCTAACTTTTATAAAACCTATTAAGTTGACCTAGACCATATAAAGTAACTTAACTGGAGAGTCCATGCAGATTTCTTTGAATAATCAATCTTCACTTCCAGTCCTAGACTCTCCTTCAATGTGGTTGTGTGCTATTAACAACGTTTCACCTGAGAAGTGGCTACATTTCAGTAAGGGAAAAGTGTTCCCTGTGTATAATTTGTATATCAGTTTATAAAGTGCTTAAGGACCCTTTGGAATGAAAGACATTATGTTAGTGGTATATATTATTTCCACCTCATGTCAGAAGAAAAACATCTCTATAGTTCTTATCAAAACCAAATCTTTCCCAGAGGTGAGCTGGGCAAACAGCAGTGCATTCTAGTTCATTATGTTTTGGTAGGGAGAGATGCTGTAAGCAAACAGGAAGGTTTCCATAGACTAAACTGCAGAATGACAAGGACTTCCATAATGGACATTTTATCGCTTCTCTAAAAGGCAAAGACAAAACACTTCTTGGACAAACAAGAAGGAAAAGTACTGATGAATGCTGTAATTTAATTTAAACACCTGGAGTCATGACTAGCTATTTAGCAGTGATCCTCTCAAATCATTTTACATTTTTCCACGCAAATTTATTTTAATTGACAAGAAGTTAAATATATCAATCCAACAGCACTACTTTGCCTTTGGAATAGATATTTAGAGCAACTAAATTTAATTGCTCCACTAGCTGTTTGCTTTCATTACACTGTTGTGTCTGGTGTGAGGGACAAATCCAGAGTGAGCACCAAACCTCCCAAACATAACAAACAGTTTTATTTGGGCGGCAGTTTGCAAGTGGTCTCAGCTACCCACTTCAGTTTATACTTACTTAATCAAAGGAAGCTGGTTTTTTTTTTTTTAAATCCTCTGATGCAATGTAGCATAAGGTGTGTTGTGTTGGTTTATATCTCATCACATGACACAACATGAAGAGGCATGACTTTGCTCTATATAACAACATTCAACACTGAACATTAAACATAGAAAAGCTGAGCAAGGGGAAGAAAATTATAATATATGCAGTTTAAAGTTGTTTTTCATTTTTTAAATTAACAAACTTTTATGTGCCATATTATAAACAATTAAGTGCTCTGATAAATTATTTTGGGAGTGGAAATGAATTAAGTAGCTTTCTGAGCACAAAATATGTCTCTGAGAAAATTGTGTTTTTCATGCTATCACAACCGCTATTTCAGTCCTTTTCATATGAAAGCCAGTAAACAGCCAATGGAAAGATCTGCAATTCCTCAAAGCTTCAGTAGCACCAGGCAATTTCAAGCTGCTTCATGCTGTACTAGACTTAGCAAAAATGGAGTCTGTCTTTCCCACCACCTCCTTAGTGCATGGGATGGGCAATGCCAAGCAAAAACTGTACAGTTGAAGGAAATTAACAAGACAAAATAAATGTCAATAATTTAATGGCTATAAAGTGTTCTTCAGGCATCTATATATTGTCAAGCAGGAACCCAAATGCAACAGATTCCATATATTGTAAACTGTTTTGCAAAATGATCTATTGAGATGTCAAGATAAAATGAGTCAAAGGGATAGCCCAGCTAAAGTAACTGATAGCTCTCTGAACAAAGATCACTGTTTATTAAATCTAGTCAAGAGAACTTGCACAATGAAGTGTCTCTCTAATAAAGAGTCACTTTATTAAAAAAGTAATAAAAGGACACTGAGGAACTGAGCAGTCATAATCTTGTTACAGCTTCCATGTCATGTTTACCCAATTTACCACTAAACTGGGCGTCATGCCTGACACATCTTATTGAAAACAACTTATTAGCTGTAGTCTCCATCTTTTAAGTACAATCACCATCTGTGAATCACACCTTGTTTTTCCCAAACCTGATTATAGCTAGTACTAGTAATAACAGATTAAATATGGTAAAGTAATAGTAGAATCACAGAAATGCAGAGCCAGAGGGGACCTCCAAAAGCCATCAAGTATAGTCCACTACACTGAGGCTGTCCCCCCAGTCTTCTTTTCTCAAGCCTAAACATGCCCAGTTATTTTAACCTTTTCTCATAGTCAACTAGAATTTCATCAACCGACCTAGGATGAAACAATGGTCCCAAAGATGTCAGGGGCAAAACTCTCACTGATTTCAAAAGGGACAGGATTTCACCTAACCATAAACTTAAACAACACAAACCTCTCTTCATAGAAGGCATATAACAAGGTGTAGATACATACAGTACCACTAAAATTGGTTTGAAAAGTGAGCATTTCCCAACTCAAGTGGTTTTGAGTTATTTCATTCTAATGAAAAACAAATGAGTTGGACATAAACTTTTAAATTGAAAGTGAAGATGACATAAGAGCACTTCTTGGGATGCATTTCTAAAGTTTTCTGTTGTTATGACACACAGTAACTATTTCTTATGTTTTACTTCAAAAGCATATTATTTCATTGCAAATAAGGGGAATTTTATTTAGCATAAATATAGGAGCTAAACAAAGAAAAGCCCTGAATGCATAAGGGAAATGGAGATGTACTGGTAACAGTGTTACCTCAGTATAACAAAACATAGGTACAGGGCAACCAAGAACATATAAAAGGATGTCGATATGCTGTCCTTTTTGCATAGTCAAACAGACAGTCCTTACAAAAGAGAAGATCTCCATTTATTCTCCATTTTTGGTTTAAATCAATCAGAGCCGGACTTGTTCAAAGCTCCAATGATAGAGTAAATCTAAACACTCTAGTACAATGTGATTAGAGTTCTTTTGTGTCTTTCTCCTGCAAGTCATCTGTTAATATGTTATTCACATTCACTGTTTGTGGAAAATTAAAGTGATTGAGCGGCTGGCTGGAGTGTTCTTTTATAAAATGCAGGTTTACCTCATGTATTGATCTAAGAAGTTAATTGTGTTTAAGTTTGATAGAATTCTATTTTTATATAATTTTGAATGATATCAGTTTGTTTTTATGCCTTTTTATTTTTATCTATTTAATTTTTCACTGTTGCACAAAATCTTGAGTTTTAAGCATTTTTTAAGAATTTTAATTATTTAAATTTTCACAGTTGTGGAAATTATGAAAGGGTCAGACAATAATTATTTAATGATAGCCGTCATTGAGATTCAAAAAGATAAAACTTTAAAATCATTCAAACACAATTTGCAAGCATCACATCAAAATATGCAAAGTAAATATTCTTAAATCAAGCTCCAGTTATCAAGCAGCATTTTTCTTACTTTACTTCTCAGTAAATATTGATCGTTATTGATGGAAATATTTTGTGTGTGAACAATGAAATTAACACTCGCCAACATTTACAGATAAAACTCTATCTTTCCAAGTCTAGATATGTATTATATGCAAGTCAGTTTTTATGTGTGCATTACCTGAAATTAGAGTAACAGCTACATTATTAGCTGTCCAATTGATCTTGCAACATTCTGCATGCATTGTCAAGTTTCACATTGCTAATTTCCTAACAAGCACAGTTTGTTTTCAAATGCCCCAAGGCCAGTTTACTAAGTCCAAACACAAGCTCTGCAAGATAAAAAAAAAAACCATACACCAAGAAATGTTAAATACACCATAGAATCATGATCCCTGGGCAAATGGTGCCTCAACTGATTTAAGGGTATTTACTTTTTAAAGTATAACAAAACAAAGTTCCAATACTTGTCTGAGTATTTTTAGCTCCCTGCCAGTTTGTGTAATACATTTTTAATTGTTATGTGTAATGGTTTGCAAGAGAACACCCAATCAATTAATCATGAGTGCCTTCTCATGTCCGCTCTGTGGGTTCTAGTGGTGTACGTTTATCTTACATGTTGTGAACACTATAGTACATTTCAATGAGCTCACTTTGAAAACCATAGGCCACACACTAATCTATAGAAATTCCAGCAATTTTCAACTGCATGTAGAGCAACCAAGTTCACATGTATACAGTCTTAACAAAGTTAACAAGCAGGGCTTTGAGAGCTGGAAAAGGATATAGAGGCCCTTCAATTTATATATGTATGTCAGAAAATTACAACTGCAATTCATTATTTTAAAAAGTGATACCAACAACTACTGAACCAGGAGCTCTTTGTTTTTAAATGAGCAAACTTTTCAAATCACATTCACTATGAGGAAAGATATCAGAAAAGAAATTAAACAAAATAAAAAATTGAGGTGTCAAATGTGAAATTACAACATCTATTTTTAAAGGGCAACAAATAGCTATTTGAAACATGATCCAAAGGCTTTTACTTTATTTATTTGCTTACTTATTTTTAAAAGTTCTACAACTGTTTTACACTTTGGAAAATTTATCAAGTACTTGTGCATCTTACCCAAGATGCATATTTTAATGATTCCATCACAAAAACTAAAAACATAAGAGACTTATATTTAAGGAAACATCAAAGTTTTTTAATAGTAAATAAGATATATGCCCCTTCATCAAATTTTATTATACAAAACATTCTGTGGAGTTTGCCTTAATTACAGTAGTTACTTGAGTAAACTTTGAAAATCAAAAAGGTGCTATTAACTTGTTCAGTTTTTAATTCAACCTAAAAGGAAACTACATGCACCAAAATGGTCTGAATGTAACTAAACTGCATAGTATATAATTTTGTACAATAAAAAAATCTAATTTATTATTATTTCTAAATCACTAATGTTAAAAAACAGGTTTTAATATATCTACCAGAAATATCTTTTGAAAATACATTTCCATGAAGAATTAATTATATTTGTTATTCTTTCTGGAAATATTACATACAGTAATGTCTACTCTCCCAACAGTAATATTCAAATAATTTAATCTCAAATTTGGATTTTCCAAACTAACAGGTATTTGTATTCTCTCTTTTGAAGTATCAAATGTAATGTGTTTAGTACTTAATCTGATGTACATTTTTAACTATATAAAGAAAAAAACATAAATAAACCTACCAAGTGGATTTTGTAGATTTTAAATATCTAACCTGAAAAGTACAATTTTACCAACTTATCAGTTGATTGATTGATTGAATGTACTGTTTTTTTCCCAACCCAGACACTAAAAAATATTTGGAAATTCAAACAATGTAGAAAAATGTTTCTTCAACTCATGTTTAAAACATTTAAAACAGTCATGAAACAATTTAATATTTATCACTAGTTGCTATTGTAATTTATAACATTGAAAACTATCAAACTTAACATGGTCAGTGCCCACAGGCACAAAGTAAACCACATTTTAAAATTAACCATAATTAGATAAGCCAACAGCCATCTTCCTACACACATTTTACCACATAACTACAAAAGAGTAAAAGACACTGATACACTTAAGCACCACAGTTCACTCCCAGATTTAGTAAGCTTTTGTTTTCAACTTAGTACCTGTAAATTAGTGCTAATTGCTATGGAACCCTCCACAGAGCCATTACTCCTGTATTTATTTAAAAAACTACATGCTTCTATTCCACATCTTATGTTCACTCAAAAAAATCAAATACATAAATGTATTATTGGTCCTGTTAGCAAGATTTTATAATGCAGAGCATTGGCAAATTTAAATAAAATTAAGCTAGTTTTGCAGGCTAAACTTGCAATTTAAAATCTATGAACTAAAAGATTGACTTCACTGGACCATACCATTGCTAAACATATTGAGAACCACTGTGGTATGTATCTCATAGCAATACCAAATTGTAGGAGTGGACCAAAGAACTAACATTGCTTCAAGAAACAGTCTGTTTTAAAGTAATTACTGAATGATACACAGCAGGCTGTTACAGTTACTCACAATTTACTTGACCATCACATTTTAAAACTAGAAATTTCAAAAAATGCACTTATTTCTATCAACACATAATTGGATTTATTTCTAATTACCATATGTTTTGATGAAGCATTTAGCCTTAATAGACAGATTTAGTTTGAAGTAGCAATGTAAATGAGTGTACAGGAAATGAATCTTCATTTTTCTGCACAGGAGATATATAAATATTAAGCTGGGGAAATAATATTAATAATAATCAATAATATTGTCTTTCTAGACCACAATGCTAGCTGCAGAAAATCTCAATCAGTATGTCATATTATTTCATACTCTATGCACTGTTCAAAAAGTAAATTGTCTTCATATGTTCCTGTGCCTAGGGTCTTTCTGCAGTAAATGTTAACTCAAATCTTAAAAAGGTAAAATGCAGAAAATATGTGTCCTCCATTATTAAAAAATGGATTAAGCCCTACAGTTCAAAGGCTGAATGACTGAAATAATTTGTAAAGTAACTGGTGAGTGGACAGTAAATGTTAAGAACTCCCTCTCTCTCCCTTTCCACTCTCCCCCTCCCCCAATAATCTCACCTTCTGAGCTGCTTTAGAGGGACTCTTGTTTTTGCTTCCTCTTGGTCTTCCTCTTGGTCTTTTAGGAGATGGTTCTCCAGTTGGTTCCTACACACAGGAAAACATGCTATTGTGGCAAGAATCCCCACAAGAAACTACCCAAATAGATCTTAAGTATCAACAACTACTACTTAAAAGTATATGAAATATAAGTGAATGATACAAAGTTTAAATGAAGTAGCCAGCCTTCATTTAAATTGTAAATATGTAGCAACATAATGAAAATCTGTGTATTCTAACAACAGTAAAACCATACCAGAAAACACAAATTGTGAACAGGGATGACAATTGCAAACTTTGTGGAAGGACGGTTATTCAGAATTAATTACCCCAGTTCATTTACATTTCACCATAAGAGTATACAGATATCATGTCGTTTCTATCACAAATACTTTTTTAAAAAGCTGAATACTGAAAAAATGGAAAATAATCTGCAGGTTTTTCTCAAGGGCACAAATAGTTTATTATTTGCTTTTGCTGCTATGAAGTTTGCGTTATATTTCCACTTAGTCCAAATGTAATTGCCTTTTGTTAAAATGTAAAGATTTATTTACAACATATTTTTGGTATTATATATAATATATATATATGGAAATAAAATATCTGTAAAAAGTTTAACACAGCTGTACAAGAACAGTGATTGTTTTAGCAATTTTCTTAACTGGTCCCTGTGTTTGATAGTAAATAAGCCAGTCATTAAAATGGATATGAATGACTAATAGTTCAGATTCCAAATATTTATTCAGTGAATCATAAATACTATAAAACTCTTCTATTGAACATTTCATTCTGATTACAGGATGTGGTAAAACTAATTAAATGCAGTTTGTTAACTTAAACCAGCCTAAACCCTTCAGATTTTAAATTCCCTGGTACATTTAGATAATCTGGAAAAGAATCATTGACACGATTCTAAATTGCAAACCAGAGCAACATTGTGCACATCTGGATCGAACACGTTTTAGGAGATTCAGGTTTTATCTGCGAGCCATTCAAATGCTAAAAAAGCCCTGCTCAAAACTTGCAGAGCCCACTGCTACTGGTTGGTTTTGTTGCAAGACCACGTTGTCAGAGCCAGCTGTAAAGTGAGTTGGAGGGGCAGAAAGCTTCTCAAGGCTGACTAAGTATCACAGGGCAGAGCGGGAAAACGTGGGGCTCCACTTTTGTGGTTTTCTATAAGTATTTTCTGTGCATGTTTTAGGAGCACACTGGAGGGGCAGAAGCAGCTGCATATCCCCCCAGCTCAAGGGAATGCCTTTGGGGATCTTGTGCATCTCAGCTCCCATAACATTTTCTACGCATCTGATTTGCTTTGAAGGAAGCGAGGGGATGCTAGTGAATGGAGTAAACACGTTTAAAGCCCGCGGAAGTCAGTTTAAATGAGCTCACTAGAAATCCCCACACACTTCCACTAGGTACTTCCGAAGCCTGCGAACTATGGCAAACAAAACCCCCCGCTTGCCGCTCCCGCGTGCAGCCCCTGCAACGCTGCACGCTTAATTAGTTGCATCCGCAGGCAAAGTCCCCGCAGCCTACCTCGCTGCGGAGGGGGTGAAAGGAGCCGGACTCGGGGAAGCGGAGGGGCAATGTCACTCCAGACAAGAAAGGGGGGAGGCACGAGCCTAGCAAGCTTGACCCGAGTCAGGTTCTGCAAGGGAAGAAGGGGCCCGATGTGCCCCTTTCTGGGCTCCCTGAAGCTCCCCGGCGGGTGCAAACCGCGGGGGGAGGGAGGGGGACCGGCCAGAACCCGGAACAGCCCCCCCTCCCCGGGAGGTGAAAGAACGACCTGCCTGGCAAAGGGCTCCGGACGATCATTTAAAAACCCGGGCGGGGGCCGAGCGAGCGAGAGCTGCGGTTGTGTCTGTGATGTGAGCTGCTGGGGCTGGAAATATTATTAGGCGAGTCCTGCCCACGGATTCAACGGGGATGAGTAAAAACAAAACAAAAAAACCACCAAAACACCTTTGTCCGTGGGTGGAAAAAATAGGAGGGCGCTGGGTGAAAAAAAATACGAGGAGGAGTAGGAGGCAGGGCGAAAAACCTAGGATCGGGGGCTGGACCTGGGCCAGAGAAAACAGAAATACAGCAGCATTGGAAGCAGAGGCAGACTAGAGCACACTGAGACCAACTCACGTGTCCAGTATCGTTCATGCCCAACTCCCTGCAGCAGGTTTAAAGGGACAGGCCGGGGATTCCCACTGCCCACTCCCCGGTCCTCTGGCATAAGTACTGAAACTAGGGAGTGCTGGGGATACTGCCTGCATGTCCAGCTTGAAGTACAAATAATATCCCAGAAATAGGCTGTCCACCTTCAGCACCTTCACTTTAAAAACTGTCCCAGCACCATTGGTCATTTCTGGTTACAGACCAGCATCATAGGTCATTTCTCTCCAGCCTGCACAAGCCAAGTGTTTGGGCAGCTGTACAAATGCACCTCCCTCCTGAACAACACCTAGTCAGGCATAAAAGTTTGTCACTCAACCTTTCTAATAGCTGCTGTTTTGCTTCCTCCAGTGACTTTTTGTCCTGCCTCCAAACCACTGCACAAGGGCTCCAAATGAGGGGTAAAGAAATCCAATAAGGTTAATAATCTTGCAAATAGCACCTGATTCAGAAAGTCGACATTTCTGATGTATGTAATGAATAATTTTAAAAGTAAAACATCTGCACCAGGGTATGGCACAGAGATGAATCTCCTTGCATCCATAGAAAAGTTCAAACACTAGTTCTTCTAGACCTCTCTGCAATCATCTATACAATTAACCACTAAGTGCTGGCCACCATGTTCATTTCTTCACAAGACCTCACATGCAACACTCCTGAAGTTTTAGTCCTGCCTTTCCACCTATATATCTAGAGTCTCAATATTACAGTTGTGCTTGCTGAGAAGACAATGCCGCTACTCATCTCTGGTTAAACTCTGAAAGAAAAACAGCTCCTGGATAAAGCACAGCTATTTCAAAATGAAACTTGTTTGGGTGAAGCTGATACTGATATGAAAGAAGAACACTTTGAGGGACTGAGTGAAATCCTTTGCCCTCCAACTGTCTAGGAGAGGCACAGCATAAGGAACTCACCAAACGCATCAGCTAGCATCCAGAAGTGTCTTCTTCCATCTTTGGCCATTCTTTCCCCTCAGACGTAGACCAAATCACAGTAATTCCTGCCTTTATCATGGTAAGGCTGGACTACTTCAACTCACTGTACATAAGGGCGATTGTGGAGGCTATATGAAGGCTTCCATCTTCCAAAACTGAACACTGAGAACATGACATGAGTGCTTCGCAGACTACTGTCACCACTCATATAATTCCATATCCACTTCAAGGTCTCAGTCCTTATCTTCAAAGCTCTCAATAGGCTGACATAGCTGCCTCCGGGACTGCCTCTTTCTCCATAAATAAGCTACAATCACCAGGGACAATGGGGGCAACCAGCACCAAAGCCCAGTATGAAAACACATGGCATTTTCAATGGAGGAGATACCCCTCCCCCCGCTACTGAAAATTGAGTGTAAATCTGGCCATATTCAGTGCATATCTCTTTGTACAGAACTTTCCACAAAAGAGAAGAACTAAGGACATCTCCTCCCTCTCAATCAGTAACCGAATATGAGCCTTCAGAAAGCATCAAAAGGAGCAGAGACGCTGGTCTGATTATGTGGTCCAATATATTCTAGGAATGGGCGGTGAAAATGTTCTAATCCTTCTTGTACTAGACACATAGGCTACGTCTAGACTGGCATGATTTTCCAGAAATGCTTTTAACGGAAAAGTTTTCCGTTAAAAGCATTTTCGGAAAAGAGCGTCTAGATTGGCAAGGATGCTTTTCCGCAAAAGCACTTTTTGCGGAAAAGTGTCTGTGCCAATCTAGACGCGCTTTTCCCCAAAAAAGCCCCGATCGCCATTTTTGCGATTGGGGCTTTTTTGCAGAAAACAAATCTGAGCCATCTACACTGGCCCTTTTGCGCAAAAGTTTTGCGCAAAAGGACTTTTGCCTGAACGGGAGCAGCATAGTATTTCCGCAAGAAGCACTGATTTCTTACAGTAGAAATTCTTTTGTGGAAATTCAAGCGGCCAGTGTAGACAGCTGGCAAGTTTTTCCAGAAAAGCGGCTGATTTTCTGGAAAAACTGGCCAGTCTAGACACAGCCATAGATTCTACAAATGATAGGTATATTAGAAATTCATAGATTGCTGGAAATAAACAAACAACATTTACTCCTGGACGAACAAAATATATCCATGCTTGGTTCACCAGTAGTAGAAGAGCCAAGACTGCGGGAAGGGGGCAGATGAGTTATTTACCATGGAATATGAAAAGTCTACTGCAGACAGACAGGCTAAAGAGAATAATCCTGGAACACTCCTTTGAGCTGAAAATATTGCTTATGTGTTCTTAATACAACATCAGGCTTTCTGAAGTCCCACAAAGCAACTAGCCATGAAGCAAAAGATAATCCATCTGTAAAATCTCAGGGCTAGCAAAAAAAATCCTATAGACAGAAAGCTACTTTGAACTACATTCAGTGAAAAGTCTCAGAGAATGTTAGTCTGTAATTTTAAAAATAGTTATTTTGAGATAAGCGTTATTCAGGGAGGAAAGCAGGGGTACAGATTTCAAAATAACCAGCCTGTTATTTTGAAATAGTGTGGACACTCCGCTGCTGCTATTTTGAAATACTACTCCCGAGAGTAATTCAAAGTAATTACTCCCCAGTGCTTCCTGGGGCTCTTAAGTTGAGGTAGCATGTCCACAATAACAGAGCCTACCGTGGACTAATTTCGAGGCTCCTCCGTAGCATGGACATGCTATTTGAATTTTGTTATTTTGGGAGTTATTATTTCAAATTTAGTCATTTTGAAATAATTTCCTAGTGTAGATGTGTCCTTGGAGACTAACAAATATACCACGAGCTTTAGTGAGTAAAACCCACTTCATCTGATGAAGTAGATTTTACCCACAAAAGCTCATGATATATTTGTTTGTCTCTAAGGGTACCACAGGACTGCATGTTGTTTTTACATTCAGTGAAAAAATCTGCAGAGCCCTGGAAATCTGTGGATACCTGGGGACCATATTTGTGGATAATGGGCAGATGAAGATCCAAATGTTGTATCTAAAGCCCTGCAAATCTGTGGATATCTGCTTTATATTCATAAGCTATGTTTGTGGATCAGATAAGCATACAAGTTTTGTATTCATGCGGAACTCTAGAAATCTGAAGATCTCCAAGTCCATCTCATACATCAAAAGATTTAGCTGTTGCATGCAAAGAGCATGATTTCAAACAAAGATAATAAAATCAATAGTTTCAGGTGTAGCAGTAAATAATTTTTATAACATCCATTCATCTTGTTGATATCTGTGTAAGACAATGGTACATATGATCTTTTATCTCCAAAACCACTGTTCTTATTGATTCATCCCATATGGGCTATTAACAGTCTTGTGTGTCTTCACCAGGTTCTTAACAGTTCTGGTGACAATGCTATGATTCAAAGGTATTAATGTAATGTCATAATCAGACCATGTTCACATCAGACAACTGCCCAGAATTGTCTTACTTAGAAAGTTGTTCAGGACAGGGGCTGTCACTTTCTGTACTAGTGTTTGTACTGTGTATGTAGCATGATAGAATTCTAATCCTGGCTGGGCAATAAAAATGGATAATAATAACAACAGAAAACAAATGAGTGTTGCCATCAGAGAGATAAAGGGTCATCTGCAATTGACAGTATTTCTTCATACAACTTGGCACAACATGATATACTTGATGGACCAAAAAAATAAGAATTCATAATACAAATCTGCCCCTGATTAATCAAAATAGCTTCGTTTTAATGCAAGCCACTCATATACAGGGTATGTGAACACAGAAGCAGATGGATAAAGAGTACTCAGCATGGATTTTAAACTGCAAAGTTTTTTAGGCAACTGCAGATATGTTTACATCAACCTGTAATCAAAAATTGAGCAAATATTTCTCAAAAGGATATAACAGTCTGAGGAGCAGTCTGCTCACTCTGGCTGAAGACACTTGTAACAGGATGGCCATCCTATGCACTCCCCTGTGGCCAGGAGCAGCATTGCAAGTGAGCTTCATGTTTCGCCCTCTTCCCCCCGCCCCCTGCCCCCACTTGGCACCAATAAATTATCTTCCACAGATCAGACTAATGAGAAGCCAAAACAAACTAGTTAAAATAAGTGTGTCTTCTTTAAAGGCGCGCCAGGGAGCACTGAGAAATAACAGTTCACAAACGCTTACCTCAGGACCTGGGTTCAGAGTCCCTAAAACAAAGTCTCTCTGCCTATGTCTCTAGCCTTCTGGAGATGGAGAGAGCTCACCACCTGCTTGCAGGCTGTTTGGCTTCCAGTCTCCTCTCCTCCTCCTCAACATCTTCTTCCTGTTTAAACAGGAACAGAGCAGGGAGTTTCCTGCATTATCCCCAGACTGCTCGGTGTGTGAGTTCCAGGTTGGCCTTTAAGTGAGAAGTACGTTCCTACACAGCCTCCTTGTGCACTTTCCCACTAATCTTTCCGCCGAACAAGACAATTAAAAAATAAAGAGAAAAATCTCTAATTGTTCTCAAGTGACCATGTAGCCCCAGTCTTGTCAAGTAAGGATCATTATTCCATCTAGCGCAATGGTCACCAGCCAGTAGGTCC